ATCTAAAACAATTCTAAAACTAAAGTCAATAAGTAATATTGGGAGAAAAAATGAGTGTGGAATAAATACTTTTTGAGACTTAAAAATCCAAAAGAATCCAATATCAAACACACATTACAAAAAAATGCCAAAGAAGATCTTTTAGGCAGAAGAAGATGGAAATCCAGGTTCATAAAAAGGAATGAAAAGCAAAGGAAATGGTAACTCATGTGGGTTGAATTTTTCCTTATTATTTAAGTTTCTTTTAAAAATAATTGGCTGCTTGAAACAAAAATAAAAACAATGTATTGTGGAGTTTGTAATATATGTGTAAATTTTATGCCAACAACTGCATAAAGGCCAGGAATGAAGAAATGGGAATAAATTGTTGTAAGATTTTTATTCTATACATTTTTAAAGGTACACGGTGGTAAGGTAAAGATGCATACTATGAATCCTAAAACAACAATTAAAATAACAGGAGTTATAACTAATGAGCCAAAAAAGAAATTAAATAAAAAAAATTCAATTAACTCATGAAGAGGCAGAAAAAAATTAAGGAAAAAGGAACACAGTACAGATGGGTCAAAATAGAAAACAAAGTGGTAGATTTAAATCCAATGATGTCAATATTCACATTAAGTGTAAATGGTGTAAATACACTAAACAAAGGCAGAGATTGTCAGATTGTATAAGAAAGGAAGACCAAATTTTAATATAAAAACATAAACAGGTTAATAGCAAAAAGGTAGGAAATGATATAACATATTGACATTAATCAAAAGAAAGCTGGACCGATTATATTAATATCAAGGCAGATTTCAGAGCAAGGACTATCAGGACAAAGAATATCACTTCATAATGATAAGGGGGTCAATGAATCAACAATATATAGAATTCCAAACATTTCAGAACCAAATAACAGAATATAAGCTATCATCATCCTACTTTTTCATTTTCAAACAATTGGTGTGATATAATGATTGCACTGTCCATTCAAACAAGCTTGTGTGTTGTCTCAAGACTTTGACTCTCAAGTTTTGCTCTTTCTTTTTTAGCCATTCAATATATTATTCAATTTTGAACACCATGAGTCATACTGCTGAATTTTTAAAAGGGTGATATTTTTGACATTTGCTGTGATTGTCTTCATGCATATTTTATGAGAAAATACAAATAACAGAAAACAGAGCCTACATTTACTTTAACTGCAAATGTTAGTGGTTAATGGGACCAATCAGGCAGGATCATTATAATTAAAGTTCTGTGGTCTTTTTCATATAAAAATAATGTGGTGTCACCGTATTGACCAAATATGAAGAGCTTCCTCTTAGGGTGACATGACAGCAGCAGAACCATTAAAAGCATTGCCTCTATGAGTCACTTGATATTTATTTTTCATCTTCACTTCCTGAGGACTTTTAAAGGCTCCAAACTGCCAGAGTGCACTAACCTGATATTTCTGTCCAGTGGTGGGAAACAGAGACAGTATCTCAAAGGTCATTCCATTTCTGATCAGAAGACCTTATAGCTGAGGGAAGTATGGGAGGTCTTACATGTGACTGATGATTAGTAATTCAATATTACATTTTTTTGTTCCTTTTGAGATTAAAAGACCCATGTTGCAAAATTTCAGTTGAGGTTAGTCCAGGATCATTTAGCTATTGGAACATCTCCTGGTTTGTCCACTAATTCTGATCATATTATCAATTCAGAAATTCAAGAGATGTTCCAAAGTTTAATATTTTCCAATGCTTCTTAGGCTATCAGTCATATACTTTGCTGGCCCAGTGTTTCCTATTATTAATCAAGATGCTTCTACGTGAGTTTCAAAGCAAGTAGGTTTCCAAAAGACTTCAACCATTATCTTTTCTAACAGATCAATATAGGAGAAGAATAATTCTCCTTCTATAAATAGGCATAATATAAGGACCATATCCATATATCTTTATGTAGTTTCATATTTGTATCGATTACCATTCACTGACTTACTTCCCTAAATGCTTCAAATCAACTGGTAATTGTCCCTTCAAAGAGTTAAAAGTCCATCCCTATAACTTGACACCATTCTTCCTAACCTCTGTGGTTGAAAGGAAGCTACTCACTGGAGGGTTTGAAGTATACCAGCTGACCCTAGTTTGTCTTATGAAGTATTTTTCTCTAGCTGAGTGTTGTTTAATCAGTGCTTGCCTTGTGTGTAGGCTCTATGATCTGAATGGAATTTGCAGAGGGATGAGGGAAAGGACAGAGAGAAACTCTGCTTGCTAGAAGGGCTGAGAAGAGAGAGGTCTAGTGGGAGACAGGGCTGGAAGAGTGAAAGCTGCTACTGGGAGTTATTTTAGAGGAAGAGCGGAGATGATCAGGGTGGACATAAAGGAAGGTCAGTGACAATCAGATTACTTCTGGAAGTGGCACCTCCAAAATGAAGGAAGAGAAAGTCATCTACCTGTTGGTGCTCCTCTTTCGTTTCCCTGCTACTTCCAAGATGGCAGAGTCTATAGGTAACATGGAAGAAAGAGAAAGGAGAAGAAATTAACCTCTTTGGAGAGGAAATGAGTCATTTGCTAGAGAGTTGTAAAGTTAAGGGAGTGATTTTTATTTTCCCTGTGCTGCTCACAGAAGTAAAATAAACCAAGTGTTTTAAGAAGTTGTCATCTCAAGGCCATCAATGGCTCATTGTACACATATGTGACTCCGGTATTACAAATGAGATGGCTTTTTAAAACCATAGGCACAATTGAAGGGGAAGAGAGAGTCCTTGGAAAGCCTAAATGGGGGGAGGATGGCTTGCATATTTTTCCAACTAGAGAAAAATGTGCTAAGACATTTTTATATGATCTGCTGAAAAAGAGACCGGTTGGTTTTATGTCTTTATTTAAAGAAACCCATTCAAATCCTGTTCTGAGAGAGCCTTTTGGGAGAAGGGAGGCATGGTGACTGAGTTGGGTTAAGAGTATGTGGGACAGAGCTCAGCAAAGGTAGCTTTCAATCTGGCATGAGGCCAACAAGCCAGTTGGTAGTTAGGGGAAATTTGACTAGTCTAGCCACTATCTTGAAAGCTTCTCTTCCTTGAAAGCAGACTCCATATCTCAGTCATATTTATATTTCCCTAAGGCCTTTTACATACTATGTGCTAAATTTGAGCAGTGAGTATGTTTAAATTGTATGAGACTTCCAGCCCTCATGAAAGAAGACAGGTTAATTTAGTAACTTTTATCAATGAGAAAGGGATTATAAATTACCATTCCAGCCCCATATCTGACTTAAATATATGGCAAACCACTATATTTTTACTCATGCCCTCCTTTTTATAAAGAATGTTCACATTGTTACAAACATCCCTCCACCAGAAAGCCAGACCCTTACTCACCCTGCTATTTGGGGGTGGGTGGGCGGGGGACTTCCTGTGGCATTATCCCCAATTATTATTAGAATTTCATGTTGTACAGATTTGATATGACAGCCCAAAAAGAATTACTTTGAGATATGCAATGGGTATACAGAAAGAAAAATGTATCATCACTCCTGTAATCCATGGATTTTCTTCAAATCTCATCACTCCTATAATCTATAGATTTTCTTAAAATCTCATGCCTTACTTTCCTCTTTTATAATTACCTCTCCTTAATTCATTTATTAATCCACAACAGTCCACTTGCAGCTCCAACACTCCACTAAATCTGTTCTTATCAAAGACACCATTGTTCTCTACATGGCCAGATGTAATAAACATGTCTACAAACTCATATATTCAATTTTTCACTGGCACTGGAAACTGTTGGTCCACTCTCTTCCTCCTCCTCTGCTTCCTCCTCCTTATTTTAAGTGTAGGGTTATTTAACATATGGTTAAAAGATTTAAACATGCAAAAGAGCCATTGTTTAAAAACAAATGAAAACCAAAAAGTGTATACAGTTGTCAGATTAAATAAAAATATTCAACACCCAGTTAAATTTGGATTTCAGAAAAACTACACACCTTTTCAGTATAAGTATATCCCATCCAATATTGAGGACATATTTTTAATAAAGAAATACTTTTGTTATTTATTTTTGAGTATCCTGTATTTTATCCGGCAACCCATGCCACCATACCCCATGCTTTGTCCTGCTCCCCAGAGGCAATAAATTCTAATTTTAAAAAGCTGTTTCTTATGGTAGTTAGCTCATTTCTAAATGACATTTTAAAATTTCTTAATTTTTCACGTCTCTTTGCTTTTGTGATAATAAATGAGGATTTACTTCTCTTGCATTACTCCCTTTCCTCCCTCCTCCATTCTTTCAATAGAATTATACTTGCTATGTTGTTATTTTCTTATTTTTTAAAGATTTTGTTTATTTTTTGACAGAGAGAGACAAAGCAAGAGAGGGAACACAAGCAGGGGGAGGGGGAGAGGGAGAACAGGCTTCCTGCAGGGAGCCTGAAGGGGGGCGGGGGGAGGAGGCTTAATCCCAGGACCTTGGGATCATGACATGAGCTGAAGACAGAGGCTTAATGACTGAGCCACCCAGGCACTTCCTAATTGTTATTTTCTTATAGGGGTTAGTAAAATTCAACACTTTCAAATTCTTATTCCATCAACTCTAGGTAATATATTTTGACATTCTGTAAGGCAAGGAGATTAGTGTTCTTGTACTGTTCTCTATCTCTTCTCCCCACTTCTACCTCTCCCTTTCTGCCTTCTGTACTTGCTCTGTTGAATTGACAAGGTTGATGCTATTTGCCATTTGTTCTGTAACAATAGTGAAGCCAGTAAGTTGATTCTAAAAATTGCAAATCAATAAAGTGCTTACATTACCATGACTTTGTAAATATTTGTTCACTTGAAGAACTAATAATTCCCATTGTGAATATTTTCTTTTATACTTTACCAAAAAAGGGCAAACAACATTTCTTAAAAGTTAATTGTAATGTGGATCTGACATTGTATCATTGAAGTTTTTTTTTTTTTAAGTTCCATCAGTTTTTTTTAATTCTCTTTGATTTTTTTTCTCTTGGTCTTCTGTTATCCTTTCTGCAGGTCACTTCTTCAACCCTTTCATTTTCCTGGTTTGTAGTTTGCTTAGGCCTTGCTTCTGCATATGAATCCTTCCATAAGTTGTACCAAAAGTATGATGGGAGACGTTTTTCTTCTTCTTTGGCTTGAGCACTTTTGGCATTTTCATAGATAATTTATAAAGATCATCTGATGCCAGGGGCGCCTGGGTGGCTCAGTTGGTTAAGCGACTGCCTTTGGCTCAGGTCATGATCCTGGAGTCCCGGGATCGAGTCCCACATCGGGCTCCCTGCTCAGCGGGGAGTCTGCTTCTCCCTCTGATCCTCTTCCCTCTCGTGCTCTCTGTCTCTCATTCTCTCTCTCTCAAATAAATAAATAAAATCTTAAAAAAAAAAAAGATCATCTGATGCCAGATGTGTGCTCCTCAGAACCAGATCTAACGAGGGCCCTATCTCTTCCAATTCAATCCTTGGTGTTCTACAACCAGATTTCTTCAACAGCAGTTTATAACTTCGAAAGTAAATCTTCCCATTCAATGCAGTGAAGTGCAGAACATACTCTACACCAGCCAGGCGGATATTTGGTACTGTGGGGCCTCTGAAGAAATCAATAAGAAGACTTTTTAGCCTTCTGTAGTCTTCTGTTACATCAAAATCATAACCAGCAAATATTAACATGGGTTTTGTTCCCTCAGGACATTTACTATTCTTAATATCTTTTAGAGAGACAAACTTCTCGATACCCAACTCAATCATATCCAGCACATGGTAGTCATACATACGACCTATTACTAGATTATTTGGCCGCTTATTATGGGAGCCAAACATAAATAAAGAACAATTTGACTTCTTTGATAAGAATTCCAATGATGTCTGATCCTCAAATGGTCTTGTAATGTTTTTCTTTTTATACAGAACTCCGTACGGTTTTTTCAGTGCATACACATCTTTAAGTACTTGTGTCACCATTGAATTTGCATTTCCCCCTTTAATCAGCATGGCATTTTTAATATTTTCACTGAGTTTCGGTTCTCTCTTCTCAAGGAATCTCTTGGCTCTTTTCGTTTTGGGCTTTACAACTCGATCCAAAAAGTCCATGGCTACCGCAACGCGAACCCCGGGAACGCACGCGCACGGCGCCATATCATTGAAGTTTTGGTACTCTGTTACTTTAATATCTATTGATACCGCTATACTTTGAAGAGCTCTTTGCTCATGTCTGATGTTGTAACATCATGCATTAGTTATTTAGAAAATGTTGATTCAAAGAATTATGAAGATTTTCCAAATGTTGATACATTTGATGTTACAATATAAAAAAATAACATTTGTTAATATCACCACTGATCTCATTAGGAGTCTTTTAAGTACTGGGAATCTGTCAGGCTGATAGTAGTAGATACAAGTTTACCAAAATCTCATTTCTCCTTGAAAGTTTGTATTTTGTCAGTGGCAATACAAACTGTCTGTTGTTTTCTTTGACGTGACAGGCTCATTTCATTTATCTTAGGAAATGTCTGCCCAACCTCCAAGTTCGAATAACCATAGTTCGCCTGTTGGTTATTAAGTCAAGTAAAAATGGTGTTCCACGGCAAACACATCTAATTCAGCTCACAGCTGAAAGAGGTGCATAGTTGTTTCACACCAAGAACACCTTCATACTGAGGTAGACAGAGGATTATACACCCTTGTTCTGATACACAGAATATTAAAAAGACTTGAGGATCAAGATGAATAAAATTAATTTTTGCTGCTTCCTCAATGACGTTCTTAAATAAAAAGTGGCTTTTTTCCTTCTTTTTTGGGCAGAGTTTAAGGCAGAGAAGAATTTAGTGCCTAGTAGGTACCAAGTACAGGTTGGTACCGCTGTGTTGATTCATGGCTAAAGTGTCAGCAATTTTAACCACCACTGCTTATGCATAATCAGTGCAAATGTCAAAGACATGAGAAAGGCATATTGTATCTTAGGATTATTATGAAAATAGCTGTGATTTCACAGATTTCCCTAAAAGGTTTCTGTGTTCACCAGGGACGTGTGGAGCCCAATTTGAGAATCATCAATCTAGTCTGGTCCTGGAGACTTTCCTCTGAGGACCCTCGGACTTAATTCACTCTGGGCAAAAATCCTGAGACTTCTTTTCATAGTTGGGGGTTAGAGCTCCTGTTTTCTGGATCCCATGTTGTCTTTTGGTGTCATTTACCCCCTTGTTTTATTACAACACAAAGATAGTTATATGAGAGGTATATTTTTTTCTGAGTCCTTGCATATATAAAGTGTCTTAATTCTATCTTCGCACATGATGGTTTAGTTAGATATGGAGTTATAGTTTAAAAATCATTTCCCCTTAAAACTTCACGTTGCTCCATTGTCTTCTAGTAATTAATGTTGCTACTGCAAAGTCTGATGAGAAAGGCGATTCTGGGTTTTTTTTTTTTTTTTTTTTATAAGTTGTTTCCTCTGCACCCACATTATGAGAGCATTTCAGATCATGTTTGTATCCTTGGTGTTTCTAAGTTTCAACAAGATCTGCCTCACTCTGGGTCTTTTTTTTTTTTTCACTCATGGTACCAAGCCCTCAGTAGACTCTTTAAGTCTATAATCATGTCCCTCAGTTTGTTTGAAATATCCTTGCATTATTTCTTTGATCATGTATTCTCTATCATTTGTTTTCTGGGACTTGCATTAGTCAGTTGTTGAAATACCTTGATGGATTCTTTAGTTTTATTTTTACGTTTCTAATTTTATTTGTAAATACTATTTTCCATCTCTTTGGCCTTTGTTCTAATTTCTGTTTTTCCCATTTTGGTTTGTAATCCTTCTATTGAATCTTTTTATTTTGGTACTTCTTTATTCAAGACATCTTTCCTATGGTTTGATTGTTCCTTTTCCCCTAGCAACCTTTTTTTTGTGTTAGGATATAATGTTTTCTCAAATCTCTCTGATACAATATGAAGCTTTTGAATCTTTTTTTATCTCATATATTAAATTTTCACTTCCTCCAGTGTCATTTTTACCATTGATTCATCTTGATCTCTCTTATTTTTCATGTTAGAGACTTTCTTTAAAAAAAACCCTAACTTTAATTGTCTATTCATATTTAAGAATGGGGCAATAAAAAGTTAATTGGGTGCTTTGGATACATGGGCAGGCCTTATCAGTTTGCATGTTCAGATTTGGATTAAGATTAAGGTGCTTATTAGGAAAGCAGACATTATTTATGTAGGTAAATTCTAGAAGCTGGAGAATGTAGGCCTTTGATTTCTATAGAGGTGATTTTGTTTTTTCCCTTCAGAGATTGAGAATGCAGGAGTGACGCCGGTGGATAGCAACAGATATGTTTACTTCCTTTCAATCACTCTGTGTTCAGCCCCAAGTCTCACTTCAATTCCCTCTCACCCCTGGTATATCCTGGGCTGTTCCCGGATCTGCATGGTAGATGAGGTCTCTCCTTAACCCTTTCTGCTATGTGTTCTCCAAGCTGTGGCTTCCTCAGTCACACTCAGTCACTCCTCTGTCTGCCTTCCGTTCTCAAGCAATCATTGAAATCAAGCCAGCGATGGCTCTTCCTGGTTTCTTTGTTGTTGTGGGTCTATGGCTTTGAAAAATTTTAGTTGCTATCATTTCCTGTGGTCTTGGTATAGAAAGGGAGAAAGGTATGTGCTCACCATTCCACCGTCCTTAACCAGGCACTCTCTCCTTTCTTTTGGCTTCCATGATATTTCCTTCTCAGTTCTCCTTCTGCTGGGCTGACCGTTCTGCTGGCTCCTTTCCTGTTTTGACAACACAACAATAGAGTTTCTCTTTACACTCTTTTTCTAGACAACCTTATCCACTGTATCATTTAAAAATGTCCATCTACCTGCAGATCGGTCCCTAATTTGTATTTCCCTCCCTGACCTTGCTTCTGGACTCCAGGCTTTTTATCCAATTTCCTGCTCGAACTCTCTATTATTTCACAGATACTTCAAATGTTGGTTTCCAGTATCCCTCCTCTCCCACTTCTTTCCCCTGCTCAGGCTTCCTTATCTTGGTAGAGGGCTCTTTCCATCTGCAGGACTTTTTCATGTTCTCTTCCCGGAGTACTGTTCTCCTCTCTATCTGCACGCCTACTTTCTTCTCATCCTTAGACCTGCCTTCATATGTTTCCTCAGAGAAGCCTTCTGTAATTACCCTGCATAAAGTTGCTCCCTCCTTCCCACGTTGTTATTCTGTCTCTAAGTATGCTATTATCAATCCTCATGGAACTTTTCAAATTTGACATTAGTAATTTTTTTAAATCTTCTTATTAGATGGTGAGGCCCACAGTGATAGGAGCTGTGTTGTGTATTTATCACTGCTTTTCTAGCACTAAGATAGTGCTTGACGCATAGGAGGAATGTAATAAATATGTGTAGAATGGATAGATGCAGTTTCAAATGAATACTAAAATCTCAAAAAGCTTCTTTATTTATAATCATCTGCAGGTTACCTTAAAGGATCTCAAAAGTACTGTAGCAACTCCTCATTGCTTATTTCATTTTTCAAACTTAATGGGAACCTAAAAATGTTCAATTAAAATATATGACTGTAATACTTACAAAAATAGTTTAGTCCAGAAAACAATATGAGTGCCTTTTAACTGGCGTATATCATTTCCTGAAGGACACTTAATCATCTATAGGCTTATTACTCCGAATAAATTTTCTTTGTCTTCCCCTTTTATCCTTACTTGACCCAACTTTATGAAATTAATGTGTTTTTTTCAATGTAGGTCATGAAGGTTAGTTTGAAATGAATTATGGATTGTGACACCACCTGAGAACACAGGAATAATAAAGAGGTAAGACTTTCCCTGCTAAACCCAGACAGCTTTCTATATTTCACTCCTTTAAACCTGCCAAATAAAATGTCATGAAATAGATCAGACAGATCTAGAGGATCTCACTGTCAGGAAGAGCCATATTCATCAGGTGGTTATCAATTGTCCTGCCACAGATTCTTGGCTGATTCCCAACACCCACTTCTTTGGGGAAGAAAGAGAAACACAAAACTGGTTATGCAGAGAATGAAGGCCCGAGAACTGACAGACAGAAGAGATTATTAATGACTATGGATGCGATATTTTGCCTGGTCTAGTCACCACCACACGTGCCTTCTATTATCTCTTGGTACTAGAAATAATCTCTTGGACTAACCTTACAGATGCTATTAACTATCACAGGAAAAGACTATCTTAATATGCTATAGTGATTCATTTTAGGGGAAGAATTCTTAGAAATAATCATTTTACCCAGTTTTTGAAGTAAAAGTACATATCTGGTGTGGTGATTCCTCTGGTATCAGGGGAGGTGATGCAAAGGGAAGCAGGGTGGCCCGGCAGAGGGGGTCAACAGTTGACAGCACAGAACCACCGGAGGGGAGGAAGCCGTGCTAATTAACTGGCTCAGGCTCTGCAGCTTCATCGGTCTCTGAAGCCCAAGATGACACCTGCCTCCCTCAGCGTGCTCTGGCTCAGCTGAGAGACGCTTCCTAATGAGGAGAATGAATCAGCTTGAGCTTTGAAGTCTGACCACCTAGATTCGAATGCCAACTCTGCCACTTCCTGGCTGTGTGACTTTAACAAGTCACTTAGCCTCTGTGAGCTTCCATTTTCTCATCTGAAAATTGTGCATAAAATTGGAACTTCTATGGATTTTTTTGCTGAGGATTAAAGGAAAATGTTCTTAGAATTGTAACCATACGAAATGAGAGCTCAGTAAATGGCTATTGTTAGTTGCTGGGGCTGTTGCGGCCGACTTGTATCGTCCATCCCCCTTCTCTTGGCAACTGCCCCATCTTGTTTGGGTTTGCCTACCCACCCCTGCAAGGACTGTGTACTTTGGGTGAAGCTCTATACATGTCTGGCTCAATATCCCTCTGGCTGTAGGTGTGGGGCTCCTGGCTCAGGCCTAATCTAATCAGCACTGTCCCACCATCTGGATGTGGTTTCTGGTTCCAAGGCAGGTTTTTGACCTAATTCATTCCATTGAGACCTGAGATGATCACCAGAGACTTCTGGGAAAGAAGCTTCTTTGCTTTCCTGAGAGAGGTGACAGAAGGGAGGCGGTATCATCATCAT